TGTAGTAGAAAAATGGCTTTTCCGCCTTGCTTTCTTGGAAGGATATTTCCTTGATAGCGTGTTGCAAGAACAGCTGTGTGAATAACTGATGTGTGCGGATACGAAGGTCGCTGTTGGCCAGGGTGGGGGATGTGAGGTGACTCATGTAGCGTAAAGATTGGCAGAAACTGAAAGGGAGATGGGGAGAGCGGAGGTTTTCATTTACTTTGCTTTAAGCATCTTCATACTCTGCTGGCCTTGTCCCAGGCAGGGAGGAGGGAGCGTCTCAGCGGGCTTTGAGAGCTGAAGGTGGTCCTACTGGGGATTTCCTTGTAGCCTTCTCTTTTATGAAAGGCAGAGAAGACTGCTAGCAGCTCTCCGGGTGTCAAAGGAGCTCGCTGAAATCAATGTGAATGCAGCACTTGTCTCCTTTCGAAAGGCTTTCAGTGACTCCTCCGCGTGCAAGGGTGAGCTGGGCAGAGATGCGATAAAGATGAGCTTGTCCAAGCAGTTGTCAAGAACATCTAACGAGACAGTGCTCAAAAAAAGGGGGGCGAGTGTCAGGCTGGCGCCTCGGAGGGGGTGACAAGCAGGTGCTGTTAGCGCCCTGTGTGTCCTGTTAATGTGCCCGAGGGTAGAATAAATGTCACCTGTGGGAGAGGCTTCAGTTTGCTCTGCTTGATGTGGATTTTTTTTTTCTCCCACAAAGTGGTGGGTTATGTCTTTCCTCCCTTTCTGTCACCATATTAAAAAGTTTCAGTACGCGGAACAGGATACCAGAGCTTTGTGAATGCAGCCGGACAAACGGCTCTGCAGAGTTTGTGTTGTCCCCTGGTTTTCTTCAGAACTGTCTTGGCAAGTTAAAAGCTCTTGATCATGGCTGTTCCATGTCCCTCTTGCCCTCCTCTGCGGAAGAGGCATGGGACGATGTCTGTCATCTCGTTCATGCGATATCCATCATTTGTTGCTCCCTACTTCCTTTTCCTCCCTTTGAGCAAATACTGTGTTGTGTTCATAAGTGGGTTATGAAACTGCAACCTGGGCAGGGATGTCCCGGACACAAACGGCCCGGCCATGGGCCCTCTGGGTTACGTTAGAGCGTGTTGGCAGAGTGCCACAGGGAAAAGCTGCTGCTTCCCCCTTCCAGTGTTGGAGTGCAGACTCTGTGTCAGGGACCGCAGGGGAGCACCCGCGTGTGCCTGGTAATGGCATAAACGCACGTTGTTGGGTCTCTTTGCGCTTGCTCAGGCTGGGATTCAGCTGAACGGTTCCTCTGGTTTGGCAGCCTGGCTTGTAAATCTTTTGTGAATTTGCAGAGAATGGCGATGATGTTTAAGTCTGTCTAAATGAGATAAATTGGAGAAGCTGTGTCCTGGAATTGTTTGCAAATATCAAGTCCGGCCGTAATTATCCAGAAGTACTTTCTCGGAGGGGGATTGTGTGCCAACTTCTGTTCTCATTGCTGCACAGGGGACAAGAAACGCTGTTAGAATGGCTGCGAGGAAGGCTTGAGTTCATTTATTCTTACAGTCAAGTGCTTCATTCTAAAGTTCATTACCGGAATAGATTTTCAGAATCTTTGGAGAGATCCCAGAGACTTCAGGACAGTCGCTGTTGCCCTTGGAGGAGGGGTGTGCCGTTAGGTGATGATGGGGGAGCGGCTGATGCCGCTGCTCGAGGGGTGGTTGGCGTAGCGGTGCTTGCAGCAGTGCTGGCGGTGTCCTGCCCGCACCGTGCCCCGTGGTCCTGGGGTGATGGGCTCTGCCTGGTCTCCTCCCATGATTTCCCCAGGCTACTGTCTGCCGGTGCAAGAGAGAAGTCCGAGTGTGACTCCTGTCGAGGTCTTGTGTGCAGAAGCAATGTCGTGACGTTTGACATGGATTTTTTTTTTCTTTCTCTTTTGAAAGAGGTTTGCTTTTTGCTTTCCTTTGATCTGGAGTTGTGCTACTTGTTGCTTCGTAGTAGGATTTCCTGGCACCTCAGGTGCAAGGCTGTCATCCGGGAGGATTTTTGTGCGTGTCTTTTGAAATGCAAATAATTGGTAAAGGCCGCAAAGGCGGTGTCTCCTGTCTGCTGGAAGCCTGTGCCTCGCCAGTGACTGAACCAAAGCAGAGCTCGGTCCTGCAAGTTTTGACCTCGCATAGGGGAGAACTTAGCTCGCAGGCATCCCTCAAAGGGGGTGATTGCCTGGCCAAGCCTGTGAGTTGTGCAGATGTTTTGGTGTGTGTCCACGTTGTCATTGCTAAGCTGCTGCCTTCGCTTGAAGGAGATGAAGCATGTCTGTCAATACCAAAGCAGAGATCCTGATAAGAAAGGCCCCCGGCTTCAGCCTGAGCGTGCTCTGCCGGGCATGAGCTGCTGGGTTAGGAACCTGTGCTGGGCACTTCCTTCAAATTTTGCTTCCAAAGCTCCCCCCACCTGTTGCATAGCAGCGTTCCCACTTCTTGCTACCAAATGTTTTTTCCTGGCAAGGCTTTCCATAGTCCCCCTCGTGTCTTTTCGTTGCCTGGTGCTGCCTGAGTCATCGTCATCTGTATGCAAAGAGCCTGATTTCTGCCAAAGGTGTCATCAAAAATTTCATCTTCTATGTGCTTCCACGTCTCCTGAGCGCCTTCCAAAGTTCTGGCCTTATCTTGTCATCTTGCAAGCTCTTCAGGACAAGGATGGCACCGGTGTGGTTTTGGGTTTTGTTAAGTAATATTGTGCTGTGTGTGTCTGACACGTCCGTGACAAATGAAGCGAGGTAATTGCTACAGGTTGCTGGCTGCTGTAGAGCGGGACGTAGGACAAGAGTGCTGTTTCCTTCCAGAGCTTCACCTGCCCGGGAGACCTTTTCCTGCTCGGTCAGAGCGTGCTCTTTTACAAGATCGGAGAAGGCACAGAAAGCAAACCCCACATTGTTTCAAGGTAGATCAGCATTGAAGTCCAACCAATTTAAAGAGAGTGCTTCCCAGTTGCTTTCCAGACGAGGCTTTTAGCCTGCTCTAACTGCGTTAAGCTGTACCTAGAACAGAGCTGAAAATCTTCCTTGTAAGCAAAAAAGGTAGTTTAGTATTAACGTGTTTTATGTGGGTCCCAAGCATTTGCATCTTGAATACATTTTAGATTAAACGCCCTGATATTTACAGCTTTTTTTTTTCCTCATCCTGCTCAGTGCCAGTAATTCTGGATGCTGTATCAACGCTAGCTGGCATCGGGGACAAACGTACCCTGCTAGCCTCGGAACAAGGCAAAAGGAAGGTGATGAAGAGGAAGAGTGTGTGTGGGGGGCAATAAACATGGATTTTTTTATTTATTTCCCCCCTCCTCGACCTGATGAAGGATCCCCATGATAGAGCTGCTTTTTGTCCACACCTGGCTTGGGAATGTCAAGGTGTTGGATGTTTCCTGGCGCTGTGTGCGTGCTGACTGCTCCGCTGGCGCGCTGGGAGAGCGGCCGTGGCTGTAGCAGCGCGGCAGCCGGCCCCTTCCAGCCAGGAGGAGCGGTGCTGTTGGCAGTGCCAGCACCCCGGGGTCTGCGCCTGCACCCAGGGCTCCTGCCAGCCGCCCTCTGCGTCCCGGATCCCAGCTCCCCTCTGCCTTCCCGTGGATCGCTGCCGACAGGGAGCAGCCGTGCCGGGGCTGGCCCTTCAGGACAGGCTTCGTAGCTGGCTGCTGGGAGCCTGGAGCTTGGTGTGCTCTCTCCTCTGCTGCCTGTGGTATCCAGCTGCTATCCACAAGCCGGCCGCACATCTAATTCCCTCGTGGCCTGCCCAGACGGTGTTAATTGGTGGGAGGGCAGCGTTGAACCCCGGGCCCTGCTGAGCCAGGGCAGGCACCAGGCTGGTGGTGCCTCATTCCAGTCCAAGCCTGTTTTGCTTGGTCAGCCCGTTTCCTCTCCCTTTCCCTTCTGTATTTGTCTTCCCCACACCCCACCCCTGACTGCAGAGCTCCTGCTTGTAGGTGGAAGAGCAGTAGGTCACGGAGACCGACGCTGCCTGCCCTGCCACGGGTGTGCAGGGGAAGGCAGCAATTTGGTTTATTGTCGCTGCAGATTAGCTCAAGAGTTGTCCCACACCAGACTCCAGGGTTTATGTGGTTTTCCGATGATGCCGTACGCACAGGGAGTTTAGGAGAATGGGCTGAAGCCAGTAATACAATGAGATTATAGCAGAGTGGATGTTCTAATCCAGCCAAGCTGCTCCTGTCTAATACTCTTTAAAGCTCGCTTTTTCATTTCACAGCCTCCCTGCTCGTGCCCGAGCTGGGCTGGGTTACCTGAGGTTAGGGACTGAGGAAGCAGCCAAGTCCGTTCGAGGGTTCGCTGCCACTGCTGTTGTACGGGGTCTGGCCTGTGTTGGAGCCCCTGTGGACCTGACTGAGCCGGCCAGCCTGACCCATCTCCCCGTGCCCTGAAAAAAGGAGACGAAAACTTTCTTGCCATATTAGTCAGCTGTGTTGTGGCCTGGAGGGCTGAGGAAAGAAGAGCGGAATAGGAGGGAGCGGTGACGTGACCGTCCCTTTGGGTGCCAGGAGCAGTTAGTTTGGTGTCAAACCATACCCTACACTAACTGCTCCACTGCAGGTAGCAGCGCGTGTGCATCTGTCTGTAAGCAGCTACAGGGTAACTCCTGACGTGCAGAGGTGACAGAAGCCTAGTGCCAGGGCTATGTCCTTCTTCTCTAGCAATCCATGGAGTTTTCTAAGGCAGGGGTGTTAGATGGGTGGGAGTAGAAAAGTCAGATGGCAGCCTGCTCGGTGAAGTGTGTTACGGACAAGAAGTGCCTTTTTCTTGTGGTTGAGCAAAGCCAATATTTTCTTAATTGCAGATGGAAGAAAGAGAGACACAGAGAGTGGAAAGTGACTTGATGAGAGTCACAAAACAAAGTTAAGAACAGCTTTTCTGAATTTAATTTGTGTTTAATGGCCTGACTGTACAGCCTTCCTGATGTCTGGGATGAACACTTTCAGTGGTATTGCCCATCTCTAAGGTTGTTCCCATGTTTCTGTTGTATTTTAATGTTTCTGCTCCTTTTCGCAGGAAAGGCTAAGGCATATGCTGGTCTTGCTGCTGTTGCTGCATGGTACGGACTCTTTCTATGTACCTGGTGTGGCTCCTATCAACTTCCACCACAATGATCCTGTAGAAATAAAGGTAGGATGAATTTGGATGGAGCTGTTAGTCTGTTTGGTTTGGGTTTTCTTGTGGTTTGTTTTTTTCCTTCTTTATATCATAGCAGCTAAGTGGGACTAGGAAGTCAAATTTGGGGATCCTGTTACTAAAATTTTGGGGGCAGATATTTTCTCTTTTTCACAACATCCGTGTAGGATGTCGGGGATAAGCAGCCCTCAAGTGGTCACTTACCCTGGGGTCACCTTACCCTGCAGTTCCCAACATGATTCTTTTTCTTGCTTTTGCTATCTTCTACCAAATTCCTTCAGCAGTTGCACCAAAGTCCTCAAGATGTTGCTTGATTTGGGAAAAGTGCCCTCTTTCTCACTGTAGCTTTGAAGTGAATTTAATCGGAGGTTTTTCCCCAGCATTAGGCTGACTCTCAAAGTGCTTACAGAGGGTGGCCCTTTGGGTGGTAGGTGAATGGTAGGAGACAGGAGTGGTTTAAATCAGACCTTTTCAATTTTTTTTTTCTACCCAGTTTGCTCGGGTTGTGTCTCCAAGCCCAGTGAAATCCAGGACAAGCCCTTTCCAAGTGCAGGCATTTGTCCTTGAGCGTTGCGGGTCTGACAGGCCAGGCTTGCCGAAGAGCTGTTCCTGTGCAGCATTGCTCGTAGCGAATGATGGAACTGCTTCGCCCATACGGGAGGAAGCCAAGCTTTGCTTCCAGACATCAGCAATTTATAGCCCATTTCATTTATTTTTCTAAAGCTGTGGCCTCTGTCTCAGCAAAATCCAGCACCCCTGGGGAGGCTGAGGCTTGCTGCTCCCACGTGAAGCACAACACAGTTTGGTCTCTGGCCACTGGCTGCCAGACGCTGGCTATTTTTTGGCAAATGAGACTTGCCTGTGGCTTCGGGAAGGCTTC